AAAAAAAAAAAAAAAATTAATTAACATTCTTTCCTGGGCTTTTGGAAAAAGAACTAATATGATAAATGACCAAGGACCAACCTTCCCCTTCCCCATAACATCCCTTATTTAAAAATATAGTTAAGCTGGGTGTGGCTGATAATCCCAGCACTTTGGGAGGCTGAGGCGGGCGGACCACCTGAGGTCAGGAGTTCAAGAACAGCCTGACCAACATGATGAAACCCCGTCTCTACTAAAAACACAAACATTAGCTGGGCATGGTGGTGCACACCTGTAATCCCAGCTACTTGGGAGGCTGAAGTAGGAGAATCACTTGAACCCGGGAGGCACAGGTTGCAGTGGGCCGAGATCGTGCCATTGCACTCCAGCCTGGGCAACAAGAGCGAAAAGCTGTCTTAAATTTTAAAAAAAGGCCAGGCCCGATGGCTCACCCTGTAATCCCAGCTCTTTGGGAGACCGAAGTAGACGGATCACGAGGTCAGGAGATGAAGACCATCCTGGCCAACATGGGGAAACTCCATCTCTACTTAAAAAAAAAGCCACACACACACACACACACACACACACACACACACACAATTAGCCAGGCGTGGTGGCGTGCACCTGTAGTCTCCACTTCTCAGGAGGCTGAGGCAGGAGAATTGCTTGAACCTGGGAGGCAGAGGTTGCAGAGAGCTGAGATGGCACTTCCACCTGGCTGTCGGAATGTGACTCCGTCTCAAAAAAAAAAAAGATATTAAAAAGAGATGGGGTTTCACCATGTTGGCTAGGCTGATCTCGAACTCCTGACCTCAGGTGATCCACCTGCCTTGGCCTCCCAAATTGCTGGGATTACAGGTGTGAGCCACTGCGCCTGGCCAAGAAACACCATTGGTTTTAATATCTCATACAGCTGGCAGAGTCATATCACAAATTGATGAGAGCTCTCCTTTTTGCCTTGCAGCCAGGAATCTCAGAACTAAATGTTGTATGAAACTGCAATATGTCTTAGCCAAATTTTTTGACAGGGATGATTTCTCCCAAATCCCATTACCACCAGCCTGATGTCCTTTGACTTTTAATATTCTCATAGTAGCTACCAATCATTTTAGTTATCTTGCAGCCTTTCAAGACACAGGCAGGGGCACAAATAATAATTTTTTTTTTTTTTATAGAGACGGAGTCTCACTCTGTCACCCAGGCTGGAGTGCAGTGGCACAATCTCAGCTCACTGCAACCTCGGCCTCCCGAGTTCAAGCAATTCTCCTACCTCAGCCTCTGAGTAGCTGGGACTACAAGCGCACGCCACCATGCCCAGCTAATTTTTTGTATTTCAGTAGAGATGGGGGTTTCCCAGTGTTGCCCAGGCTAGTCTTGAACTCCTGAGCTCAGGCAATTGGCCTGCCTCGGCCTCCCAAAGTGTTAGGATTACAGGCGTGAGCCACTACACCCAGCCAAATAATTATTAATTTTGAAATGGTAGCTTGGACATGGCTCATTTCATGCTGCTCCTAGATGGAGCATTTCCAAGAAAGAGGACCTTTACCCCAGAACCTGGGTTGAGTACCCTGGCAGCTCTCCCATGGTTTAGAATTATTGCCCAGTTTGAGAGAAGCAAAGAAGTAGGAAAGAGTTTGGCACTTGAAGATACATAAACCAAGTTCAAATCCTGGCTCTGTCTCCCTGGGCACTGTGGGAGCTGGTTCCAAACCTCTTCGGGTCCTTAGGTAAGAATGATGGCAGGAATGCCTGCCACCCATGTTTACTTATGAAGACCAAACAAGATAATGCACACAACTATCCCCTGTATCATGCAAATTTTAATTATTCCTGTAAGTTAATCATCAAAAACTAATAATATTTATTGAAAACCAGATCATGCCAAGCCCTGAACTAGGTAACTTTACCTGCAAAGACTCACAGAATTCTTCCATCACAGGACAAAGAGATTCAGAGTTCAAGTCATGCTACCACCCCCACAAAACAAAACAGCCAGGTATTTCACTAGGCTAGAAGGATTACAGTATCAAAAGGCTGGTACTTATAACCAAATTAAAGAAACAAAGCACATATTTACTCCCAACTAGTGTAAAGATGAGAGCCTGGTTGAGGCCATGGTAAGTATTCAAATACTTTATAGCAGTGACTGGGGGAAGGGTACCAAGCAATACTCCCCAGGGATGAGGAGTAAGGGACATGGGACAGTATGAAAAAGTTTATTTACTATTACAAGGATAACTTTCATATTTATAAAATGAAGGGGGAAACCCTACTATTTTCTTAATACAAATCACATACGGTAAGGGTCCACAAACTCTTCTCAGCTGAGGATCCACACACAACACAGTGACTATTAAAACTGGGGCATCTGCTCTAGGGGTGAGAGGGAAGGAGAAAAAATGGTGAGTTGTTTTTTTTTTTAAGCATAGGTTTTGCTTTTATTTTCCATTGATTGAGACAAGGTCTCGATTTGTTGCCTAGGTTGGTCTTGAACTCCTGGGTTCCAAGAATCCTCCCCTCGTGAGCCCCCACACATAGGTTTTAAGTGATTTTCATTATTGACCCCAGAGCTATAAGAAGCTGTGAAGATCATCCCACTAAAATACCCCTGGTCCTGCCCTCCTCCATTTCACAGGTGAAGTAAACCAAGCCTTAGGGCGGGGAGCTAACTTCACTCAAGGCCGCATGGTAAATTACTGACAAAGCTGAAGCTAGGCCCTACATCTTTGGTTTGTTTTTATTGACCCTATGCTCAGTTGATAAAAGAAGCCTTAGATCCCTTGATTCTCAGGCTGGTGCCCTCTTCTCCAAGCCAAGCTGCCCTACCTCCGCACCTCTAGCAGAGGTTATAGCACCCTGAGAACCTAGCACAGCCCTTGGCATCAGGAGCTATGTTAAGAATGAAAGAACAAAAGTCCCACAGGGAGCAGTTAGGTGACAAAGTCTTGTGTCATTAAGAGCCAGATATCAGGTACCCAGTGAGTCCCAGCAGGTGTGAGGTCCAAGGCTCTTTGTTAGCCCCAGAACTTGTTCCACCCTAGAGACCTCTTAGTGTCCTCCGCCCCTCCTCTTGTCTTCCAGTCTCCCTCTCTTTCTTTTAACCTCAGCCTTCAAGGCCAGAAATGGCTGCTGGGCCACCAGGGCTGGGTTGGGGCAGGAAGTAGGGGGTTTACCTGCCCGAACAAAGTAGCAGTGCAGGGAGTGCACGTGGACGTCTTCACTCACAGACTTGGCTGCAGCCACCAGGGCCTGGCCCACGATCTGACCCCCAAACAGTCTCTTGGAGGCCGGTACCCAGTAATGCCTTCCTCTGTAGGGAGAGGGGGAAAGAGGGAAAGACTTGAAACTGGGCCAAATTATACTACCCTAGATGAGCCTCTAGCACATGATCTCTTTCCCTTTTTGGGATGTCAGATCCCTTTGAGACTATGGTAAAAGCCACAGACCCTTTCCCCAGGCAAACATCATTCTGCATAAAAATCCTCTGGGCCAGGCGCAGTGGCTCACACCTGTAATCCCAACACTTTGGGAGGCTGAGGCAGGTGGATCATTTGAGGTCAGGCGTTCAAGACCAGACTGGCCAACATGGTGAAAAACAGTCTCTACTAAAAATACAAAAATTAGCAGAGCATGTTGGCATGCGCCTGCAGTCCCAGCTACTCAGGAGGCTGAGGCAGGAGAATCACTTGAACCCGGGAGGCAGAGGTTGCACTGAGCCGAGATCACACCACTGCACTGCAGCCTGGGTGACAGAGCAAGACTCTGTCTCAAAAAATAAAATTAAATAAATTATAAATAAATAAGTAATAAAAGCCCTCAGACATCAAGTCTAACTCCTTCAGTGTACAGATGAGAAAACTGCAGCTTGGGCCCAGAGATGAAAATGCTTGTGTAGTATATAGGCCCACTGGAAGCTGAAGAATTATGTCTCCAGCCTCCCACTTCCCAGCCTTTTGGCATTTTCTATAGCAATGAATTACAAACAGCCCTCCACCTGGCAGGTGGCTCTTGCCTGTAAGCAATCCCAGCACTTTGGGAGGCCGAGGTAGGAGGATCGCCTAAGCCCATAGGTTCAAAACCAGCCTGGGCTCCAAAGTGGGGCCTCATGTCTAAAAAACAAAAAAAAGTTAGCTGGGCATGGTGGCACCCACTTGTGGTCCCAGCTACAAGGGAGGCTGAGCCAGAAGAATCGCCTGGGCCGGGGAGGTTGAGGCTGCAGTGAGCAATGTTCGTGCCACTGCACTCCAGCCTGAGCGACAGGGCCAGATCTTGTCTTCAAAAACAAAAATAAATAGCCCTCCAAGAAGTTACTTATAATTCCGGAAGCCGAAGGCAGGGAGATCAAAGTAAGATAACCTCCAATAAAGCCAGAAGAAGCCTTGTTCAAAGCTGTTAGAAACACTTGCAGTCAAGAACTTCAATGATGCTGGGAAGGAAACATGCTCAAGCCTCAGGATGAGTAATGAGATGCCAGATGCCAGACCCACCAAATGGTACTGGGGGCGGGATATTGTGAGAAGAAAAGGATACTGAAGACGCAAGATGCTGACGCGTCTGTTTTAAGCCTGATCGATCAGCTGTGTGCCTTTGGGCAAATCACTGCCCTCTCTGGGCTAGTTTCCCCGTTGAAGGCTTAGGGCAGGCTGACGAGTAGGCTCTCTCAGGTCACCACTATATTTGCTCAGATCTCCAGGATTTCCTAGAGATGGGACTGCGCAGACCTCGCGGTGCGGAGAGGAAGGGAGGAAGCCAGGGCAGCAACAGCTCTGTAGGGGGCGAGTTCTCTCCTAATCGTGGCAGAGCGTGCATCCCACGCAGAGCCATCCTAGTCCCGGAGCCAGGGGCCCCGGGCGGCAGCAGTTGAGACCAAAAGTCTCTGCCGTAAAGGAGGGGATGCTGGGCAGGAGCTGCCGGCTACCTGAAGAGATCCTCGTCCAGCGGCTCGAGGTTGAGCACGCTCGTGACCAAGACGCTACGGAGGTCCCCAGGGGGATCGCCGCGACCGCCACAGCCCTGCCCATCTTCTGGGGTCTGCGGGGATGACATCTCGTTCAATGTTGCCGGCCCTGCACACCCGCTGCGCGGAACACGCCGGAGACATGCACAAAACCTGGTGCTTCCGGCAGACTGCTTTAGTAACCGGAATTCTCCTGCAGACCACTGGTAGGTGGAATCTAGGTTATGATTGGTCAGAGATCCTGCCAGTCTTCTGGTGGGTGTGGCCCTCTTTCTCTAACAATTGGAGAAAATGAATGCCAATCTGCGTATCCTGTGTGTGACTGGATGTGTCAGTGAAGGGGCGGAACCTCGGGACTAGATAATATGGACTGAGTGTCATTTCCCCTGTCAGATAGCAAAGACACCCCCTTCCTCTTGTAATGCGGTCAGTCCTAGGACTCCTCCTGAGTTCCAGAATAGGCTACCCAGTTAGGGCGGACCCTTAAGGCGTTCTGGGCCCACGGCAGCCTGTAAACCCTCATTGTGTGACCTTTGACCCCTGGTGTGATATTGGGCCCGGGCTGGGACCAGCCCTTAGTGTGGGTTGTGAGGGCGGCCATGGAGCTGGGCAGCTGCTTCAAGACCTATGAGGACTTCAAGGAGTGCTTCAGCGCCTACAAAAGGGAGAACAGGTGCTCCTTCATTCTCAGGGACTGCGTCTCCGTCCGCTTCCACAACCTCAACCATGGCACCTCCATCCGCGAGGACATCCTGTAAGGGCGGGCAGGGCGGGGTGGGGCGGGGCAGGAGGGGCAGGAGGGTGGGGAGGAGGCTGGACCTCCGGAGGGCTGCCTGGAGGAGGAGGGGATGCATTGGCAGGCATTGGTCTGCGTGGCCATTCATTTAACAGGCACTCACTGACCAGCTGCTGTGTGCCTTGTGGAGAGAGCTAAGCCTCCACGGCCATCGCTTTTTGACCACCCACTTCACTTTCACTCCATTCACAGGCTTTTCTGGAATTTATAACTGCAATTTCTCCCATATTGTTTTGAGAAGCTGCAGTAACCCAAGCACACAGTATGGCCTTCATAAACGGATAAAAACACCTTGGCGATAATTTCCTTCTTCAGTCTCCTCTTTACAAAACAGTCACATGGTCATTTGAATGTTCGTTCATTCATTCGTTTATTCATTCATTCATTCAGTTTTTCGTTCTTATATATTTTTTGAAACAGGGTCTCTGTCCCCCAAACTAGAGTGCAGTGGCACGATCATAGCTCACTGAAGCCTTCAGCTGCTGGGCTCAAGCGATCCTCCCACCTCAGCCTCCCAAGTAGTGGGACTAGAGACACATGCCACCATGCCTGGCTAATTTTTTTATTTTTGTAGAGGCTGGGTCTTGTTACGTTGGCCAGGCTGTTCCCAAACTCCTGGACTAAAGCGATCTTTCAGCATCTCAAAGTATTGGGATTATAGGCATGAGCCACAGCACTGACCTATTCATTCATTTTGTAAATGGCTTTTGAGCTCCTTATATTAACCGTTTTTCAAACACTTTCCATGTGCCAGGCAGTGTTCTCTGCTTTATGCATGCTTTACCCTGCAGGGTTTTTTTTCAGAATTGTAAATAAATGTTATTTTTCCCATTTGACAGATGAGAAGATTTGACAGATGAGAAGTCAGGCTTAGATGTTAAGACAGAGGTTGAAAACTCAAATGCCTTCAGGGTTTAGGCGAAACTGCCTATGTAAGAAAGTTTTAACTTTGAACTTTACTTTAAGAAAAAGAATGATGAAATAGCAACCAACACCAGGTCTTTGTGCTAGGAACGACAGAAGTGTGAATTGGGCAAAATGGAGAGCAGATGCCATCTAATCAGCTCCAGCTGATTGCTGCCATGTGAAAATAAAGATCTAGTGTTGCCAGAATTTTGGTCAAGAGTTGTCAGAAATCCATACTTTATGTGTATTTTTCCATTAAAAAAAATTGAATATCACCAGGCATGGTGGCTGACGCCTGTAATCCTAGCACTTTGGGAGGCGGAGGCGGGCATATCACGAGGTCAGGAGTTCGAAACCAGTCTGACCAATATTGTGAAACCCCATCTCTAAAAAACAATAAGTAAGTAAAAAAGTAAAAATTGATGCTTCTGAACCACAGTTCTTAAGTTAAAAAAAAAAAAAAAAAAGAAAGAAAATAGAGAAAATAAAATAAAAATTGAATATCTATTCAAATTTTAACTCAGAGCATGTGGGCCAACTCAGAGTTAAAGCATACCTGAGTTTGAGACTTGGATTGGGATGCTTGGCTAAAGCTCCTCAATTAGAGAGCCAGGCTATATTCTTTCCACTATTCTGAAGTCCAGTGCTATGCTGGGTATAGATGACATAAAGATGAATTAAGTGTTCAAACTCTCCCTAGGGAGCTAGAATAAACTTGAACTCAAGCAAACTTGCATGTGATAAATGCTTTAAAAGGAATGTGCAAAAAAAAAGACTGGGCATGGCGGCTTACCCCTATAATCCTAGCTCTTTGGGAGGCCGAGGCGGGTGGATCACAAGGTCAGGAGTTCGAGACCAGCCTGGCCAATATGGTGAAACCCCATCTCTACCAAAAATACAAAAAA